CATGGTTTTCATACGAAAAACTTGAGTATGCTTATATGAAATCAATCACTTAAAATGTATCACTAAAATGAGGAAAATATTATTTTCTTCTTGAAAATTATTTTTCTCTATCAATTGATATTAATGATTATTATGATAAATCTATGTATACCATTTTGAATCTCTTGAAAGTAATGTTGAGATTTTGATGAATTTGAAGATTTGAATTTGAATGAGTTTGTATTCAAATCATGATCTTGATTTCTTGGATTTACTACTTGAGATTTTTTTTAATCACGAGCTCTTCTTTGTACACCTATAATTTTTGTTATTTATAAAAAGAAGAGATTTGATAAAATGAATCATGTATTTTGTAATTCATGAGGTCTTATCTTTCATGACATTATGCCATTGGATTTATGGCTTGTAAGCCTTTAAATAATTAAAATATTTTATACTATTTTGTTCTTCCCTTATTCTTTCTTGTTTACAATGATAAAATGGGAAAAAGTTATGATCATGCATGGCAGGATGCAATTTTATAGATTAATACCATGATTATTTAAAATATTTATGATTTGGAATGATGCATATGCTTTTTATTATGATGATGTATGTGATGTATTGCATATGATGTGTATAATGAATGCTTTAAATGATAAATGTTTGATACCAACAATTATGAAGTGATAAATACTTAAAAATATTGATTTAATATTTAGTATCATGAATACTTTATTATCATATATGAAAATAGTGATAAATATTTTGAAAATAAATGTTTGTATAGATGATTTTACATTTTGTGCATGATGAGTTATAGTGATGATTAAAACAATGATTGAAATAATATGAATGATGATTTAGAATTATGCATATAATGATGAGTTTATATGTTTTGAAAATATATATGATGATTTGGTATTATGCAAGCAATACTTATGCTTTTTATTATGATAATGTATGTGATGTATTGTATATGATGTGTATCATGAATGCTTTAAATGATAAATGTTTTGATATCATGATTGATAATTTTGTTCTATGCATGAGATTTTCGAAATTATGCATGACGAATCTTGTGATTTACGGATTATCGATTTTTACCATAATGAAAGTGCCTTATTGATCCTTGTCGTAATAAATCTCGTACTTTCGGTTTTAAACATGATGCATGTTTTTATTTGACATAAATAAAAAAAGGCATGCTTGAATGAAATAAATCACATGAATTGAAACAACTAAAAGAGAAGAAATTTTTCTTGAAAATTATTTTTCTCTATCTTATTGATTTTGATGAATCCATTTGTATTATTTTTATGAATCTCATGGATTATGAAAATGATTTGAATTTAATGGGTTTTATTGAAATCATGATATAGATTTCTCGCAATTATAATTTGAA